GGCGTGACCATCCCCCTAGGGGGTGATTTCTCGCTTTCTGTCTCTATGTCTCTCTCTGTCTGTCTGGCGAGCGCACGTGCCCTACAGTGAAAATCTCTCAAAAAAAAAAAAAATGATACGAACAGTTTTACCGGGTTTTTTTTGTTTTTTTTTTTTTTGTTCGTTTGTTTGTTTTTTTTATATTACCTAACATTCTTTCCCTGAGCATCATCACAACATACTAAATGTGGTTTCCCATCTAGGATAAACTGCATAGTGGCTTAATCAAGCATGTTATCATCAATAATATTCCATTTCTACTTTCATACATATGTGTACATATATATATGTTTTTTATCCTATGTTTGACCCTTTGCCCTTTCCCCCCTCTCCCATTACACTATCTCTGCTATATACAGTTGTCTTCCGGAGGAGTTATTGAAAATATGCTACATGCAAGTAAAGGGAGAAGGGCCACGAGTTTAAAGTTTTCAACAATAGGGAACATAGATTCCATTCAAGGTTGGATCAAGGGTGGGTCTCGTGCAGTCCTGGAAGCTATTTTAAGGACGTGTCTTCATGTGTCCCTTTTATCTCGAGGTCTGTCACTAGAATGTGGGAATTCTGTCCTTGTCTGTCACGTGAGAAATCGGGTAGTCCCACTTCTGACCTCACTGAGTGCGCCCTGCCAGCCTGCGTCACCGTGAACAGGCCCGCTCCCCCCCCTTCCCAGCCTCCACCTCTCCCCTCTTCCGTGGCTGGTCTTCCCTGGGTGGTACCACGGAGCTCTGGGCTTTCTCATTACGAAGTGTCTCTAACCTCCACATCTGGATTTCTGCCTGCTTTTCAAAGAACGTGGTGCCCACATGTCTGAGCCCCTTTCGCGGCCCTTTCTCGAGAGTTTTCTGCTCTCCTTCCCTTCCCCCTTTTCACTGGGGATGGCTGAGGAGAGTCACTTCACTCCTGTGGACTAAGACCGTGACAGGCCCCAGACCCTCATCCCGGCTCCTCATTGTGCTCCCAGTTGACTGGGGAGAAAAGAAGGAGGGGGCATGTGTAGCCAGGTCACACAGCTGCAATTGGCTGGAATGCTGCTGCCTGTCAGGACACAAGGAAGGGCCATCTGGTCTACCTCTTCAACACCTCCCCAAGTCTTGGGAACCACCACTGGGTAATTTGAGCATCCAGCTAAGCAGTGCTTCAGTAAAGAATGTGGGCTACTGTACCCCAGGGTGATTGTTCCTGCTAGCGGAGACATGCTTTTATATCATACAGATCTAAGGTTTAATAGTACCAAGTTAAATGAGATTACACATGGAAAAGGCATTATAAAAACCACCCCAGTGCTCTATATATGCTCTGGCTTAGGGATCTAACTACTTGCTAATAAAAATACTGAATTTTTGAGCTAGCCAATGGGATGGTTAAGGCAGCTGGATTCCACATGGCCAGCTGTACAGTTTGAGTCCAAGGCCTGAAAGCTTGAAGAACATGCCTGGTGCATGTGTATGCCCCAAATTCCAAACGGCGGGAGAAGAAGGGATTGTGTTAGCCGTCTGTCATGGGGTGCTTCTTCACTTTCTCTTCTTCACTTTCATGGGGTGCAAGCACATGCACCCTCTAGCAAAATGAAACAAATTGAATTTTCATGATACAATATTTAACATTGTTGTGCTTTTAAAACCAGTGTTCTCAAAACTGTCCGCTCACTTTACTGTGCTTGAGGCAAGTGTGCGTCGTTGCCTTCCTGTCTCACCATGGGAGCCGGCGCTCAGCACTGCCTTCCCTCCACCTCCTGGCAGCGCCCCATCATCTCCATCTGCTGGGGCCACCGGGACTCGCGGCTGCTGATGGCGTCAGGACCAGCCCTGTACGTGGTCCGCGTGGAGCACCGGGTGTCCAGCCTGCAGCTGCTGTGCCAGCAGGCCATCGCCAGCGCCCTGCGGGAAGACAAGGACGTCGGCAAGCTGACCCTGCCCCCCCGCCTGTGCTCCTACCTCTCCACCGCCTTCATCCCCACCATCAAGGTAAGCACTCCCACCTCCCTCCTTGCTCACCTGTGCTGGCCATCCCTGCTGGCCAGGAGAGACTGGCAGACTGCTAGAGCAAACCCAGAGGGCCCTGCCTGCGTCTGGACCAGGGTGCCCAAGGGGTGGCTATGTGCAGAGTCGGGCGACGTCTGTCCTTCAAGCCTACACCGACCCTGAGCACACCTGAGTGTCCATGCTGGTGTTCCGAGCCTGATGCTCTGTCATCCTAAGTCTCCAAAGAGGGACCTCTCCTCCGTGCTCTGTACACCACACACAGCACCGAGGGCTTTGTAAAAGCACTCCTTGTCCAGTCCTGGCTTCCGGGCGGTGCTGACATGGTTTCCTGCCTGAGAAAGCAGGAAATGAGTTTGTAGCAGTGAATGTAACATGCCTTATTGCTGTTCAGGGAGAAACCGGGAGCAGAGTGGACCCAATCCAGCTGCAGGGCCTGCTCCCTGTGCAGGGGAGGGGTGCCACAGCCCTGCCCTCCGCCATCTTCTCTGCTGAGCGAGACTCAAGGAACTAGCCTGTCTTTAATGGTGGCCTATGGGTAGACCTGACATTTGCTGCTCAAGAGTGGGTTCCCCCTGCCCTGAACCCTCTGCACCTCGGCTTCTGTTTTGTATGCTCTCTCTGCTTCTGCGTATCAGGTTCACTTGATGCTTACTTTTGTCCTGAAAATCATTTTTAGAATCTTGCCCTTGTTTTTTTGGTCAAGTTGCCTCACAATCTTGGTTCTACATCAGTGGTTCTCAACCCAGCATTAGAAAACACAGATGCCCAGGCCCAGCCCTAGAGGTGTCAGTCTAGTCTTCCCAGTGGGATCCCGTCCCAGCCTCCGTACTCCGTAAACGAGCCCCAGAGAGGCCAGTGTGCACTCATGCTCTCCGCTCAGTAGCGAGCCTGTCCCCGAGCCTCCAGCCTGGGCTGTGCCGAGCAGTGGTGACTTGTCCACCCCCTGCCCCATCCTTCCGGTCCCCTCTTTCGTTCTGTCCCTTCCTCCCTCCCTCCCTGGAGTCCCAGCTCTTCCTTTTTCTCCCCATGTCCTGCCTCCAGCCCCCGATTCCAGACCCCAACAACATGCGAGACTTCGTCAGCTATCCATCGGCTGGCAACGAGCGGCTGCATTGCACCATGAAGCGCACGGAGGACGACCCTGAGGTGGGCGGCCCGTGCTACACGCTCTACCTGGAGTACCTGGGCGGGCTGGTGCCCATCCTCAAGGGGCGGCGCGTCAGCAAGCTGCGGCCCGAGTTCGTCATCATGGACCCGCGGACAGACAGCAAGTCAGGTGGGCCCCTCGCCAGAGGGACTGGGGCTTGCTCATGTGTGGGTGTGGAGCATGACACCTTCAGCCCATGCGGAAGTGACGGCGAGCCCGTGTTGGCCGGCGTGGAATGTCTCAAGTCCTATTTAATGAGTTCTCTAAAGGAGCTTCCAACAGGCGTTCATAGCCCTTTTGGGTGATCAGACAATATAAGCACTTAAAAGGTTCACTTAGAAAGTCAAGATTTTCTAATACCTTGTGACAAAAACAGAAGGTATGTCATGGGGTGTGATATGACTAATTGTCCAGAATGGTATGTATATGTATCAACTAGCTCAGAGGAAGAAAGGTTCTTGGCTTTGAGCAGCCCCAGGGGTTTTCATCATGTGAGGCTGGTGAGTTCTTTCACCGTTCCCAGAGTGTGATCCACAGGCCGCCCCATGCCCATCATCTGGGATGCTTGTTGAGGCTCTGATTCCGATTGGCTCGGTCTGGGGTGGGGCCTAGAAGTGTGTGACAGGCCTTCCCCGGGTGTGTAAACGCACCTAGGTTCTGACCCACTGTTGTAACTGTTCTCCAAGTGACATGACAGATATGTCCCTCAAAATCACCAATTTGCATTTTTATACTAGATACTATGAGTCCCAGTAATTTTTTATTTTAGTGAAAACCTGCCAGATTTTTTTGTTTTGGTTTGGTTTTTTTGGAGAGGTTTTCGCTATAGGGCGTGTGTGCTCGCCAGACAGACAGAGAGAGACAGAGAGACAGAAAGTGAGATATCACCCCCGAGAGGGGATGGTCACGCCGCAATCCCTTCTCCTCCATTCTCCTCTTGGGATCTTGGACATGCACGTACACGCGCCCGGCATGAGTTTTTAAGCCACCGGGTTTGGGACGCGAACCGTGGTCGACTACGTGGGAGTCCAGCGACATAGCCATTATGCTAACTGCTGGTTCCCAAAACCTGCCAGTTTTCAAAAGGAATTTTTAGTCAGAGCTTGGCATGGACCAAGCTTTATCCCCTGAAAATGTACATATTGAAGTCCTAACCACTGATGTGGCTGTATTTGGGGATAGGGCATTTAGGGATTTATTTAAATTAAGTGAGGTCAGAGGGTGGGGTCTGAGTTTTATGGGATTGATGACTTCAGAAGAGAAAAAGAAAGCAATCTCTGTCCATGCACTTGCACCAAGAAAAGGCCAGTGAGGTGAACCATGGGCAAGCTAGGGAGAGAGCCCTTGCCAGGACCCAGCCATGTGGCACCTTAGTCTTGGGACTCACAGCCTCCACTTCCTCCCAATAAATCTCTTTGTACCTATCTCTGTGTCATGTGGTTCTCTTTCTCCAGAGAACCCTGATCAATGCTGATTTTGGTACCAGGAAGTGGGCTCTAACAGATGCCTAAGCATGTGGCAGTGGCTTTGGACCGGGTGATGGGAAAAGGCTGGGAGAGTTCTGAGTTGCTTGCTAAAGATACGGACGTGAAGGCAGTTCTGGCGAGGTTTCAGACAGAAATGAGGGACGTGGTATTGAAAGCTGGAGGAAAGGTGGCATTTGTTATAAACTGGCAAAGAATTTGAACTACATTCCAATGTCTTGTGGAAGAGAGGACCTGTGGTGGAGTTGGATATTTAAGGGATCAACAGTTAGCGCAATGGCTATGTTGCTGGACTCCCATGTAGTTGACTGCGGTTTGAGTCACGGACCCAGTGGCTTAAACTCACACTGGGTGCATGTACGTGCGTGCCCAAGATCCCAAAAGGAGAATGGAGGAGAAGGGATTGCAGCGTGGCCATCCCCCCGGGGAGTGATTTCTCACTTTTGGTCTCTCTGTCTCTCTCTGTCTTTCTGGTGAGCGCACACGCCCTATAGCAAAAACCTCTCAAAAAAAGGAACATTTAAGTGAGGAGATTTCAAAGAAAATGTAGGAGTGCCTTGTTTCCTCCTGGCTGTTAGAGTAAAATCTGAAAGTAGAGAGATGAATTAAAGAAGGAATTATTAAAGCAAAAGGATCCAGAACTCAAAGATTTTGGAAATGTTTAACCTGTTCAGAGTACAGAAAATGAGGAAGTATGTTCTGAAGAGCTCCCACAGGTGTGGCCAGTGTCATTGAATCCAGAGCTTCTGCCAATATCTAGGCCGAGACACCGCTGGTCCGACCTGAGGGCGCGAGGCGGACGGGCAGCGGTGGGCCTCTGGGTCGGACACGAGGACAGTAGGGCTGTGTGGCCGCCGGTGTGCACTGTTCTTGGAGAAGAGGGAACATTACCCCAAAGGCGATTGAGGGGTCTCCAGGGCCCCTCAGCTGGCCAGATGGCCTCCACTCACCGCGTTGGAGGTAGGGCTGCCTGGCAGAACTGCCAACATGAAGGCCACACAGCCAGCCAGGGGTTCCCGGGGGCCTGGATCACTTTCAAGCCCCAGACTGAATGGAATTGGCCTTCCTGGGTTTCAGACTTCCTCAGGGCTCTTCTCCCCTTTCTTAGTTCTGGTTTCTCCCTTTTGGAAGGGGTCTGTCTGACCCGCCATTGTCTATTGGGAGCACCTAACTCTGGTCTCACGGGTTCACAGCAGGAGAGCAGTTGTCCCTTGGGATAACTTGTCCTACCCTGACTCACTTATGTCTGATTTAGATGAAACTGTGTTGTGAAGTTGATGCTGGACTGAGTTCAGACTCCGGGAGCTGCTGGGACAGTATTTTGCTTGGAAGGACTCGAATTTGGAGGGGCTAGGGCAGAATGCTATAGACAAAACTGTGTCCCCTTAAAAATTGGTGTGTCTAAGGCCTGACCTCCAGTGCGACTGCACTAGGAGGAAGGGCTTTAGGGAGTGACCAGGTGAGGGGAGTCACGAGGGCAGGGCCTGAACCTGGTAGGATTAGTGGCCCTAAGACGAGGAGGAAAGAAAACATGCTCTCTATCTTCATGACACGTACCGAGGAAAGGCCGTGTGAGAACTAGGTGGGAGGGTGCCACCTGCAAGCCGGGAGAGGAGCCATCGCCAGAACCCACCCTTGCTGATGCCCTAGTCCTGGGCTTCCAGCCCCCAGAGCACAAGGACGCCCATTTGTGCGCCTGAAGCCGCCCGGTGGACGGCGTGTTACGGCGCCTGAGCAGACTGACGGAGCTCGTGCTGGAGTCACTAAAGCAGCTTTTGGAGAGGTGTTCTTTCTTTCTCTTTCCCCAGATTCTGAGAGGATATCTTATTCAGGTTACGTATTCAGAAAGCCTTCACCCAGATGAAAGGAGCATGTTCTTCAAAACTGACAAAATTGGGATAGGAAGCCCCAGATGCTCTGCTAGGCTTTTGGTGCTTAAAAACCAGTCCCAACTTAGGTTTTTCTACAATTTAGATGGTTGCTCCAGAACCGTGATAAGCTGATAGCACAGAGTCTCTTGAAGTACAGGGTACACCAGAACCAGGGCCCCCCAAGTGTTGGTTTGATGCATGCACGAAATTTCTAGGTGTGCCAGTGACAGACGCTGAAGTGGCCTTGTCTACACAGGTGCGGTCACACACTGAACAAGCAGGATGCGGGCATACACCCAGAAAGCAGCTTTCTTTTTCACAGTCCACCTCTTAAATCCTCACGTGTTCTCTCAGGAAGTATTTACCAAGTCTCGGGAATTGTTCTAGTCTCAGGTTATTGCAGGAGCAAGATAGACAGCTCTCCTTCGTTTGTGAATTCACTCCCTTGTTGGGGAGACAGACAATAGAACAATCAAGGAAGATGGCACGGGGCGTGGCCTTTGAGGGATCCTGGCCTTCCGACCCAGTCACAGGCAGGGGTGATGTGCTCGTGGGCGTCCTCCTCGGCCCACGCCCAGGAAGCAGTCTGTGGACTTCCCTGTAAGTTTGACTATGGCTGAGTGGCCATTGGTTTGTGACTACTGAACTAACTCTCATGAAGCACCACTCAGGGCAGACGAATGAGCCGTCCGACCGCCGCAAACGCTCACCTCTTC